TGAGGACAGTATATTCGATCCAAGTCCTTATCCGAAAAGAACATTACATTTGTTGCCTCTGTCTTCCCTTTCTTGGTGGCAGGTTGGGCACTTAGCACTTCTCTAAAGTGCTCAGCCTTTTTGATTGATCTTCTGAGCTCGCATACGCGCTCAGGTTCAAAAACTCCGTGTATGACGTTGATAATACCTTGAGGCGGTGCGTCGATTGGCATTCCGTTGGGATGGTTATTATGATCTTGGGGGGCTGGTTGCGTCCCTCCTTCAATATATTTGTTCAAGTGGCCTGCTGCCACCAACTCTTCCAAGTGTTGTCTCAATGGCGTGCAATTCTCAGTGCGGTGCCCTTTTTCTCTGTGGAAGGTGCACCGTGATCTTTTGTCATAATCCTTCTGGTCTTCTCCTAGCTTGGCTGGCCATTTGACGAAAGGCTCATCTCTTATTTCGCTAAGAATCCGATATATCGGTTTCTTGAACACCGTGGTTATGGCAGTACGGATTCTCAACCATCTTTTATCAAGGTCTTCTCCGTTATCTCATCTGCCACGTCCGTTTTTGTTCTGACGATCTACTGTATTGACCTTTGCTGAGGTCTTCTTTTCTGGTACTGTGGTTGTGCTAGATTTTGCTTTGGCTCGTGCGCCATCCTCTTCTACCCTGATGTGCTGATGTACTCTTTCTATCAGGGCTTCCATAGTGAGGGGTGGCGTCATGGTGATCGAGTCCCTCAGTCTGTTCCCAACTGGAAGGCCTCGTTTATACTGTGCAATGGCGAGGTTGGTGGGGTAGTCCCCTATTTGATTGAATGTCTCCCAGTAGCGACTGTTGTAAGATCTGAGGGTCTCTTTTTTACCCATGTCGATGGAAAGAAGCTGGTCGATCTCCACCGGGGTTTTAGTGTTTGTTCGGAACCTTGTTACGAATGCTTCTGCCAATTGTGCCCAAGAGGCTATGCTGCCTTCTGGGAGTTTTTCGAACCAAGTCAAGCCTAGGTCGCCAAGGCTTGATGGGAAGAGTATGCACATTAAGGCCTCGTTTCGCCTGTACACAGCCATGACTTGGCGAAAGTGGCGAAAGTGTGAATACGGGTCCGTCTTCCCTTCATATGTGGTGAATTTCGGCTGAAGGAAGCCTGATGGTAGGGGCGCGTTTTCGATCGCTGGAACAAACGGTGAAGTCTGCAGTCTTGCTAATGCCTTGTCCGTCGGTTCATAGGCAGGGCGCGGTATTGGCATTCCAACCTCGACGCTTCCATGCATTCGAGGAGCCAACCGCTGCAAGGCTGAAACTCTATGTGGATCTCTTGCCCTAGCATCCTCCTTGCATCGTGCTTTCTCTTCGAGCACGGTTCGTAAGTCGGATGATCTGGGTAACTCCGACTGTTTAGATCTGGTTTGGTGTGAATGTGAGGGCCAATATGTGCTTCCTTCAGTGTATGATCTCTCAGATCTCGTCCTTTCAGACCTGGAGTGACGAGTTCTGGAAGAAAAGGATTGACGGTCGCCTGTCCTGATGCTTCTGCTCTCTCCTTGCGAGGGTGTAGTATTCCTAATACGATTTTCTGAGTGGCGAGGGGGCGTCTTGTTTTTGCGCCCCTCTCCTGTCGCCACTTCTTTTTTCTTCATCTGGCGTTTTAGGGCCTCCATGTCCGCCGCCATCTTTCTTATCAATTCATCTTGTTCCTTCACGCGATCTTCCAGGGCTTGAGGATTAATCCTCCTCCTTTGCCTGTCAGGACTTTGTGAATTAGAGTGACGGGGGCTGTTATTCCGCCTTCCCCTGCCACCCCTCCTGGAGTTGTGTTGTTGGGGCTCCAAGTCCGCCATGGGAGGGACAGATGGCAATCCTTCACGCCTTGCACCCCCTTCTGGAGTTAGTCCGTCGACGGCGGACTGCGGCAAATCTTCAATGTGTGCCATTGAATATAAAGGGGAGAAGCTTTAATCAAGAGGTTTTGTTCTGTCTGTTCTTCCCACAGACGGCGCCAATTATACGGGGAAGAAATAATTCTCCTCGTATAATCCTGTTGACTAAGTCCACGCTCCTCCGTACGTCGTCGCTTTGTCACCTGAAAACACAAACGTGAGCTAGCCGGCGGGTGTGTGTCGAAAACCTCTCCGATGCTTAAGTTAGAAAACTTGACAAATAGACAAAGCTCTATGTATTCAAGAAAATAATTGTAAGTTGTGTGCTGTTACCCCCTTCCAAGGTAATGCTTGTGAGCTTTTATAGGTTTCGAGTGGCCCAATCCTACTAGGACTTTTATTTCTCCATGCAGAGTCCTCCTAGGATTCATACTCCTAAAGGATAATGCTTATCCTTTTACACCCCCCCACTGCTTAAACCAAGTGGGATGGTTTTCATCATGGCCGAACTTCCATACAACCGAGATAAACCTGGCTATGCCGAGCCACAGATTAAGCCGGACTACCATTGGTTCGGTTCTCCCTTCACTCCTCCTTACCTCGGTTCTCTCCTGTTCAACCCATAGTACGTTCAGACCGAACCCACGATTCTGGACCGATATAACCCACGATTCTGGACCGATATAACTCCAAACTGTTTCCGGACCGAAGTACTTTACAACTCTTAAGCCGAAGTAACTTGTTCTTCTTTCGACCGGAGTAACTTTGTCCCTATTGGGCCGAAGTAATATTACAACCTCTTTTACACAGTCCTTCGTACTTTGGGCCACAAAATCCATCTCATAGCTCGGCCCAATTTTCACCAAAAATTACCCTCTCAGATACAAAAAATTAAAGCATCATTTGCTTTATCCAATAAAATTTTGAGCCAATCATGTGCAAAGACCAGGCAACTATCTACTAAGAACCCGTTAACAAGGTGCCAACCAAAAGCCATACAATGGTAGAAACTAAGACCCCTTCTTGTAATCAATGGTTCATACTTTTGATGACCCCTTCTAAGTAATCCGAGCTCAGAGTTATTCTATTTGTACAAATATGGTAAAGCAGCCCATTCGATTTTTGTTTTTATTGAAAAATTTTAAAGGGTTAATTGATGAAAAGTCTAAATTTATGAGACCACGCCTTTGGTCCAAAGTTTAATATTTTTTTAATAATAAAGACACACCTTGAAAGTTGCTAAAAAAAGTTGTCAACGTTGGAAAATTAGCCCAAAATATTGGCCAGAAAAGTCGCCAACAGACAACAACGACTGGTGGTGATAAGGTGGATAGATAGATAACATTGGACAAATAAGCAATTATATAAGTGACACATGCATAGATATGTGACATTTAGACATATAGGTTACATAGACAAATAATGTCCTTATAAACAAATAATGAGCTTTATTGGACAGATAGATAACATTGGAAATAAGTGATTATATAGGTTACTTTTCGACAAATAGATATCTTTTTAGATAGATAATGTCTTTTTAACCCAAAAAGATTTAAACTTAGACCTATTGACTCAATAGTTTCAAAGGTGAACTTTTAGCCTAAATACTCAATTTTAAAAACACAAAACTGGACACAACCCTTTTCATGTGGTGAGAAAAATTCATTAAATATATAACTCTCGTCCCATATAAAAGAATTGTACATCATTTTATGCACGTAGAATAAATGTTTTTTTTTTTTTTTAATATTATTTGTAAACTGACTATTTGTTCTCATTGTGACATTTGGATGATATTTTTTGGGCAGGGTGCATCAACAACCTGCTATGTTGCACTAAGCCAACAAACAGAAGGAGTGAGTGGGAAGTACTTTGCAGATTGCAATGAAAGCAACTGTTCAGCCCTTGCAAATGATGAATCTCAAGCCCACATGCTCTGGAAGCAGACCCGTGCACTGATCTGTGCACGATTACGTCAACCAGTAACTTAATAGAAACATAAAAATCAATTACAGAACTCTACATAACCTTCTCATACAAGATGGGTTGCTATTAGGCCTAGCTCTTACTGAGCTATTTCCAAGCCGTAAAACAAAAAAGGTTACTGTTCCCCAACATTGCTTTCAGCTAACTGGACACAACATGACAAATAGTGCTAATAAATTGTTACGTTTTGTCATGTGTGCCTGTTGCCACAAGAAGTGTATTAGGGTACACGTCGCAAAGCCACGATTCAGGCAAAGGCATCTCCCCAAACTTTACAACTGTCCGAGCTTTTGGCCGCATAAGACTGAGACCCACCTCATATGAGAGAGTTATGTTTGATTTTGTGATTAGTTATTTTTGTGTTTAAAAAAAAAAAATAATTGTAGTCATACATATACATGTAATAATTATGTCGCATATATCTACTTCTAGAGAAGGTATATATACACTATGGTACATGAAAATAAAGAGCCTACCCTGTCAGCATTGTCCCTAAAATATTGTTCCTCCACTTGAGGAGCTATATTTTGAATAACAGAATTGTAAACATTTACGTATCTCCCTCTTTGGGCATTTGTGGTATTCAATGTTATAAATAAAAATTTTTAAAAAAAAATGTTTCTCATTGAGAAGTTATTGGATGTTCTTATGGAAATAAATATTGATAGAGATTGGTTTGAACATTAGAGTTCACCAATTTTGCTTGTGTTTTAGCCCATATATAAAGAGGTTTCCTTTGATAATTGACATGGAATATTGCTCCAAGAACAAGCAATAATTTTTCGATCTCATCCATGTTCATTATCCAAGCTTAGTCGTTCAATAATGTTACGAAGACCGTATTTATTCATCACATTTTATATATTATCTCCATGTAACAGTCATGAGTAACAAAATTGATTAACCCAATACAATCATGACAAAAGAGATTATAAATAAATATCATCCTTCCACCATTATTATTACTCGTTTCAATGTACAAGTCCATTAAAGATTGATTTGTTTTAGATCATGATCCTCTCCGTTACATAGTTGTGAGGAAAGATCTTCATTTCTTATTTTTCTACATGAATTCGCTTTGTCGATAGAAACACAAACATTTCAATTTTTTTTGCCTCTTATTTTAGTCAAAAAAATCAAGATCCATAAAAATATTTAATGCTGACGTAATGCAATTATCCATCAGTGTTCAACTAAATGCAGCATAAGAGAACTTCATCAACTGAAACATGATCTACAATACATTCTTCATTCCGGGCTATGGATTAAAATAAACTTTATAGCATAATTTACAATCATGATCAGAAAAATACAAGACAACACTAGCATTAAATTATACGAGGCATGGGATTATCACTGGTGTTATCCATTCCAAGTTGAACTAAAATGTGAGAAGAGCATGGTAAGTCATAGCTAGCAAACCGAGTGAGGATGTTGTGTCAGGTGAATTGCATCACTTGATTTCTTTAGATTTCCCAATCTCTGTTAAGACGCCTCAGTAATATAAATCAGCAAATGAGTTTTTTTCTTTGCCTAACATTTCAACAATAAAATGTGAGGAGGTTCACACATGCAGTCCATTAGATTGGAAGAGGAAGTGGTTTCTGTTTCATCTTCACTTCTTAGCCTGCAAAATAATTCCACCTCTTCAATCAAAAACTTCATCCATCAATCAAAGTTTCTGTCTCTAGGAATAATGAACTCGGATTATGCCAGACACAAAAGAAAAAGAATGTAAACATGCAAGTGATAACATTAACTCCCTTGTTAATGACAAAAGAAGTGTAGATTTAAGCACTTTGGTTACTTCAACGAAAATAGATTCACAAGGACCACCTACGACAATCGTAAACATAAAAGAATCCTATTTTCTTCAAAGTACCATAGCAGTCCATAGAAATGGAATATACAAGACTGTCAGTATGCATTTGGATTGATATCACAGAAAGATTGGCAATTGAAGTTTTTATAGGGACTGTAACAAGAGAAACCTGGACCTCGGAGAGATAGCATCTGTTTAGATTACAGATGCAACTAAAATCCTCAATAGGATAATTTAAATGACTCCTTCACTTTGTTATTTTTTATCCATCAATATGATCAAAGGAAAAAATAAACATTTAATCTCCAACCAAGATATAATTTTCAAAGTAGTAAGATACACTTCAATGAAATTCTAGCTTTCGCCTTGCTAGGGTTGATATTAAGTTATCTAACCTTTTGTGTCCATGGCAACTTTTACTCAAAGGGCTGCAATTGAGCTGCAGAGCAAGGCATTGTAGGTGTGTAATCTGATCAAAAAAACAACAAACTTGGCGGGTTGTGCACTTTTAGCAGAAATCAACCCGACCAAAGAGAGAAAAGGAAAGACAGATTGCAAGGAAACCAAATCCTAATCCATTGCCAAATTAATCCCACAATAGGATCTACTATCTAGAAAATCGAAAACGGCAAGTCCAGTTCCTATTGTGATTGACAGCTAATGCTTATCCTATAATACCTTCTACAAACACAAAACTAAGTATAATAGCAGGTTGTCGATTTGATAATACCTTAAAACGTGGAGATCGACAAAGAGATGAAGCAGATCCAAGAGACAAAATTGCCGGTTTAACCCCTCGACCACGGTTAACTTTCTTGTATTGTCTGTTGGTTTCTTCAGCTTGAAGTTCTTTTTGCTTTGACAAAGATTCACTTCTACTGTCAGTTGAAACTGAAGAAACTGGAGCAGAAACAGAGATTACAGAATACTCTTGATCACAAGACGTAACTTGAGGAAAACTTCCTGGTGAAACACAAATAATACATAACTCAGAAACATTATATAAATGCACAGTAACCATGCCCAACACTATACTTGAGAATGCTACATGTGTGATCAAGTCACGAAAGGACAATTCTATGTGAGAATGCAAGCGTTTCCTGGAGAGAAGCCAACCCTCCACAATATGCTCAAATTTCAACACATTCCGCTGAGGAGAAGAATGCAAGAGATAAGTGTTATACCATGTGCTGCAGCTTCTTGAAACTTTTCTCTCATAGTTCTGACAAATTTGAATAAACCATTGCTTCTATTCAACTCATGGATCAACTCTTTAGTGTCATTCAAATCCGGATCACACTCGAGCACTGAAGACCAAGAAAAAAATAATTATGACAGAATGTCATAAAGAGGAACATTTTTTTACATTAAAATTCAATGAATAAGCAAGATAAGATATTCCTTACAAGTGTAAAAATCGTTCTCATGGCGAATGCTGAAGGAGTACTCCTCATTTGAATTCTTCAAATTGATGTTAGTGAATATGAATTTTATTCCTGAAGAAACAACAAACCTTGTGATAAATATCACCCTGACAAAAAGATAAGAACACTCCATAAATTGGAGAAGTATATACCATGTCCACATTCTATTCGGAAGCCAAGGACCCTATTGTACCATGAAATGGCCTCCTCTATTTCTCCTGCATCTTCATTATTTTGTTCACACTTTTCTTCACATGCTGACAGAGCTTTGATGGTACCACAGATGACACAAAAGAAGAAGAAAAAAAAAAACAAGCGTGAGCACCAATCAAGTATATTGAAAGTATACGATTTGCTTAATCCAAGCAGATTCCTTCAAAAAATGGAGCATATGAATGAACTAAGAAATGTGTGGAACTGACATGCAAATCTAGCCTCCAAAAATAAAAAGCAAAAGTAGAAAGAAACCAAAGTCACAATATATGAAGGGTTAAAAAAATAAATTTCTTTCCCTCTACTACCATAAAGATCACAACAGATGTAACAAGTCAACCTAAGAACATATGGACAACTCAAACAGAAGATATCCTCGTCGTGCCTAATATTTCAACCAACCAAAGACAAGAATCAGCATAATATTACACTTAGGCCTCGTTTCGCAACATCACTTTTTAGCCTAAAAGCCAAAAAGTCACTAAAAAAATCAAAAAGCCAACAACCTATACCAAAAAATCAAAGATTCCCTTTTCTCTCTACTTTTTGCACATCTTTTCGTAAAAAATCAAAAAGTCATCTCAAACAAACTAGTTTTTTTTATCTCATATTTTAGCTAAAAATTCAAAAAGTTACTAAAATAGCTTGTTCCCAAACGAAGCTTTAATAATTCAATGTCCCATGCTGCACCTTTAGGCAACACCAAAACCATATGTAACACATTCATAAGTATATGCAACAACTATTGCACTTCTAATGTCCAACCCACGCACACAATGCTTTACACAAATATGGCAAATGAAAGGTTTCAAAAACATCGTCCAATCATAGGCATGAGCTTACAAGAACACAAATAAAACAATATCCGACACATGTAGGCATATGACCGACCTAGCAAAGCCCAAAAGGTCTCGAGGCAAGACTACATTGGAAAGACAAATAAGTGCAATACAACACAATAAAGGTGCCAGATGTGACAGTTGTAGTTAAAAGAATAGCACCAAATGAAAATATAAGCATATTAAACAAAAATAGCTCTTAGGAATGCACTTCAAAACCAATTCATTTGTGATGTTCAAGGCAATGTAAGATGCAGAGATCTAGAGGAACTCTTCCAATGACATAAACTCCCGTATCTACATGTCCGGTGAACATTGTTACTAATCCATGCTTATAATGTGAAAACAGATCAGTCACACACGGTGAACGAGGTATAAAATGTTTCAGTCACTGAGGGCCCAAGCAAAAGTAGAACAAAATATTTATGCAACAACTTGGCCAAAGTTTTCCCATATTTCATTCATAGAATCAAAAACCAATAAGTATTAAATGTGAGGGATTGCAGATGCATTTCCAAGGGACATTGTGTTCCATTTAATGGTCAGTGTTCCAACCAATAAGGTGCAAAGCACATTTACTTTAACAAGTCATGTGTGTCAATAATTACTATTACATTAGGCTTTCTAAGCAATTTCCAAGCCACCATGCACCAAAAATAAAATAAAAGCTTTAGTGGTCAAACCAAACTATGGCAAACCAATCAAAAACTTCGAACCACACAATAGATACAAATTCCAAGCAACATAATCACACCCTTAACACCATGAACTCTATTTCAAATTTCAATCATGTCAGTGGCTCAAATTGGAAATTTGAACTTAGAAACAACACATAGGTTCGGAGGGTAATGCTTATTGAATAAACATAGCACTACAACCTACCAAACCCTGTTGGGAAGCCAAGAGTTTGAAAATTTCAAGATTCAAAGTAAGGGATTTAAGCAGTTGTAGATCAAGATGGGCCAAACTAAAGACTATGATGTGAAATCCAACAAATCACTATTCCAGATTTTAACTTAAGCATTTTCCTAAAGCCTAAACAAAAGAAATTGTATCATTAGCAAACAAAAAAGATGAGCAATTTGCATAAGATCGCTCGAAATGGAAGATCTTTAAAAGGGCCATCTTTGCAGCTTCAATAATAGAACTATATACAATGTTATTGACCTACTTAAGTATGAAAGGCAGCGATTATCCAAAAGAAAAAGTTCCTCAACGCTCCCAAGATTTTTTTTGTGACTACTCCAAATGAGAACAACATAAGATGTCAAAAACGAACAACACCTACTCTGAAATCCGTACCTTTCTCTCAAACCTTTTCCCACCAAAGTGAAATTCAGGACATCACTATATGATTATAAGACTCCATTTCCACCATCCATCCACCCAAACCTTCAAAAGTTTTCATTGATATTGCCACATAAATAATTATTTGTTCGTATATATAAGACAGTCAATGGCCAAATAAGTCCAAATAACAGTTTCAATTTGATAACAGTATTGATGTCCTTTGTGATGCTTTCTTTAGTTTATTTTTCTGATTTTTAGGAAATACAAATCGTAATAGGATTTAAGGCATTTGGGTGGCTCTTGTATACTCTGTTACACATCAGGTGCACCCCCTTTAGTGGATACTCTTTACTTCAAAAATATCGATACTGGTTTCTTTCAATTTAATAAGAAGCCTGAAGCCCCTTAAAAAATGACGATAATAGTACATAATTTTAATAAATAATCTATGTGATAGACCAACTTTAATATTTCAATGAATGATCTACAAAAAAGACCAAGTAGTAAAAAGAAATGAAACTGAAAATACCTTCAAATTGCTGAGATATTATCTCTGTGTACTCATCCTTCCTAGCGTTTTGATCTTCCACAATTCTTTTAAGCTCTTCTATTCTAGCTCTTGTAGCAGATATGGACTCTGTCATGGCCATCCGCTTTGCCTCTTTACGAGTCTTCGCTATAAAAGCGGTAGAAAAAACCAAGCATAATTTAAGAAAGCTCATGTTCATCATCAAGGATGATATGCTAAAAATCGAAATATTCTAATTTCTAACCACTAAGATTCACATAAAAGGACAATAAAATGAGCTTTGTTTCAGTTTTATATTCCCGCTACGCATTAGGTAATACTCCTAATGTCATAACAATGTGACCACAATTGTTACGCATGCTGATTTTGTGATCTATAAACATGATTGAGATAGGAAATTCTATGATTTCATTACCTTAATAGCAGAGAGAAAGTCAAACTCTATTAAACAAAACCAGTGTAATGCAATAAAACACTTTAGTTTGAAAATATTTTAATCTATAAGCTACCCACAATACCGCCAATTAAACTTAACATAAACTAAAACGAACAATGGGAAAAAATCAATGAACATCATTATGGAGATAAAAGTACACTAATTGCAAGAAATACCTGCTAGAGCTTTCACCAAATGATCCTCTGCCTCTCTCAGCTCAGCTTTTAGCTTTCCTAGTTTTGCTAAAAGGGAAAAAAAATGGAATAAAAATTTATAACAGACTCAATATTTTTTCACTGTATAATACCGCACAACACGGGCTACTTGAAATGTTTGAACCTCTTAAATAGTCCAATTAATGTTAATATTAAGTACACGGAAAATATATGTCATCGTTTGAGACTAAAATAGCCACAAAAAGGCAAAATAGGTTTTTTAGTCCCATGCTAAAAAATATCACATCCAAACCATAATCATTTCATTTTTTCTCTCTCAAAAGTCAAAAAAGTCAAAAAGTTCATCCCAAACGAGACTTTTTAACCCCAGGCTAAAATATCTAAAAAGCCAACCCAAACGAATCTATCTATCTACACTATCATAAAATGAACGCTTTCTATACCTATACTATTATAAAGTAAAGGCTTCCCAGGATATCTATGTCTCATATTTTGGATTTTTCCAAAATACCCCTGTAACAGTTATTTAAAATACAAAATTATATAGTGAGGTGAATGGGGCTTGAACCAAGCCCTTTGGTCTGAGATAATGGTTATTAAAATCACGATCCAAATCATAGGATCATACAATCCTATGATTGTTAAAACGATCCAAATCATTGTAGGATCAGTGTCATAGTAGGATCACAAGTAGGATCGTAGGTAGGATCGCGTGATTTATGATTTTTAACCTTATTTTTAATATGTACCATTCTAATTTGTATTTTTACTTTATTTTTAATAGAAAATATAATCTTATGATCCTCGATTCAATCCACATGACCCTCTCACCTAGGATCCCAATTTTACAACATCTTTACCAACAACACACAACATATATACTTTAAAATCAAAATCAAAATCAAGATCAAAAATACCACTAGTATTATACAAATTAACAAATTTGACTAATTTTTCATAGTGAAAGGATGTGGCATGCAGTCATGGAACATTAGCATTTAAAATAATAAGATAGGCACAACTCATGTGATTAAGAATAGTTTGTATAACTGTATAGCATTACTCAAAAGTACATTAGCGTTTGATTTCCGTGAACAAAAAGACCCAAAAACTATATCACATTCAAAACACAGTATTCGATCAGCAAAACCCTAATTTCAAATTCAAAACACCAAACCATATAAAAATGTTCAATAAAACCCTAGATCTGACTCTTAGGTGACACCATAATTGAAAATTTGGGAGCGAACATTACCTTGAATTTGAACAGTTTCCTGTGCCTTGGCTTTCGTAGATTGAAGCGATTTCCGGAAAAAGGAAATGGCGGCGTCAATTCTGTGCTGCTGAATCGTAATCTCTCTGTCGCATACTAACCTTAGCTCCTCCATTTTCGTCCCCACAGAGACTTCAGTTCCGCTCTGCATCTCAACTCACCTCAACTCACCTCAACTGGTTAGAGAGAGAAGCAGAAATGGAGAGAGAGAGAGTTGATTTGAATGAGAAGTGAATAGTTGAATTTAACGCTATCCTAGCCCGCCCCTTTTGTTTTCCGTTTATTAAGGGTTTTTTTTTGGGCAAATTACATATACACCCCTCGAGGTTTGGCAGATGCCCCTGAGGTTTGAGAAATTACGAATTCCCCCTGAATGCTATATTTGCATAAGAAATTAGGGGGTAATTTGTTATGAAATATAAACCTCAGGGGGCAAATTGTTATGAAAATACAAACCTCAGGGGGCGGGATGTAATTTCCGAAACCTCAGGGGTATCTGTAATTTAGCCAAATCTCGAGGGGTGTATATGTAATTTGTCCTTTTTTTTTTTAAAAATATGAGTTGAGTATGGATTAAATTTGAAGTGATGTGATAAGATGATGTGATTTAAATAGAATAATAGTTTTTTTTGACTTTTTAACTCTTTTAGGACATGTCAAAGAAGGCTTAACGACGAGTTTGGTTTGGACTAACCAGAGGATTCGATTGTGGCCCATCATCTGTCCCGAGGAGTTTTGTTTACCGAAATTTCGCCTCTCTCAAATTGGTCATCATATTTAAATTTGGTAAATTTATTTTGTCATCGATTTTAATAATTTAAAAATAAAATAGTCATATAAAAAATAAAATAATAAAATAATTGAATATTAATAATTATATGTTTGAATTATATTTAGAATTATATACGTATTATAAAAAATAAATAATTATTTTTTTTAAATTATATTTGTCGTTTATTTTTTTAAATAAATATAATTTTCGATATCTAATCGTAATATTTTATTCAGCGAGTTTTAAATTGTCAAGTGAGATGACAATATAAGGGAAGCCAAACATTTTCCATTATATATGTTGAAAATTTTCTTTTATTTTTATCCATGACATAAGTAAACATCTTTTTTTTTTTTATAGATTTTAACTTTTTTTAGTGAATATTTTTTAACTTTTTTAGGTGTACCTTACTTGAATGTATCTAAATAGTAAAATATTTGTCAAAAAATATTTTAAAAAATTAATAAATACACAAAAATAAGAAAAATGTACTAAATTTTTCTTTTTCTTTTTTTTTTGTGTATTTTTTGGTTTTTAGTGTATTTTTTTAAAGATCTTTTCACAAATATTATACTTTTTAAGTGTATTTATGTTAAATGTGTCTAAAAGTTAAATCAAATTTCTTAAAATATTAAAAAAATTCATTAAAAACATTAAAATACAAAAAATAAAAAAGTATAAATTTTTAAAAATTATTTTCTGAAAACCAGAACCAAACATAGTTGTTGTTTGGACAGGTTGGGAGTGCTTATAATTGTTAGAAATCAATTGGGCTTCCACCAAAATTATCTCCGTGAGAGTTGGTCCATTTTAAAGCCCAACCACAGCCAAGTACTTAAGCCCTAAAAGGCCCTAGGGCTTGGGTATAGGACCAGGCCAGGTTTGGGCCCATAAACTTTTTCAAATTTTTTATAGGGTTTTTTACTGGTCGGTCCTACCTTTTACACTTATTCCCCTCTTAGTCTTGAGTTTTGCTCTTGTACATCAACAGGTCTTGAGCCTTTTTTTTTTGGTACCGTTTTACCCCTCCCCTGTTTTGGTGCGTTTCTGTTTGGATTTTCCATCAAATATTGTTTGTGATTTGGATTTCTGTAGAACTTCACGATTTGCTACTGTATTATTGTGGAGCTCCGTGATTTTCTGATTTCGTGCTTAGTGTATCTTCGCGATTTGGGATTTGCGATTGCGTGCTTGGTGAATCTTCCTCTTTGCGATTTCGCATTTGGTGTATAGTTACATTTTCTGATCTGCGATGTTGTGGAGTTAGGTCGACTGGTATGTTTGATTTTGATTTCAATTTAAATGTTTTGGTTCTTTTTAGTTTGAGTTGGTGATTTTGATTTTGTGGTGATAATGTTGTTATTCTGTTGTTTCTATTGCGATTGAATTTGTGTTTTGATCATGATATTGAAAGTTTTGAGATATGTATATGTTGATTGAATTTTAGATTTTTATTTTTTTTGGTTACGAAATTGTGTTGATTGAACACAGATGTTGGTTTGTTATTTTATACAGGGATAATTTTATCACTGTGTATTTTGGGGGTGTTATTGTATTAACTTTTTCAATAGTGATAAATTTACCAGTGAGTATAGGAATAGGAGATGAAAATGTTGGATAATGTAATGGTAAGATTCAAATCGAGTTACCATGCCTAATAAGTGTAAGCCTTATTCACTGTTCTTGGTCTGTGGTGGTGTTAATTGTTAAGTTATCAGTGTTGGTTTTTGGATGTGTTTGAGTTGGTTGATAATTTTATCACTGTATTTGATTTTGTTTTAGGGTGTTTGAGTTGTTTGCTGAAATATAATTGTTGTTTGTTGCAGGATTTATAGTGATGGAGAATTGTTTGTTCCTTATGTGCAAGTTTAGAGGTGTGACATTGGTTATCAAGTATAATGATGGATTTAATTTCAAGGATTTAGTATATAAATTATGTGCAAAGTGGAGTAAGTTAGTTGGTAGTTCTTTGAATATATCGTATTCAATGCCTGGACATTCTTGTTGTGGTCTACAAAGTAAAGAGGATTTGGAGGTTATGGTTGGACTGGCACTTTCTTGTGATATTCATCGTATTGATGTTTTTGTAAAGTGTTGTTCTTTGGGTGAAGGTTATATGATTTGTGATGGTGAAGCTAGTAATAGTGTTGTTTGTGAAACTGATTTTTTGCCTTCATTTTATTCAAATCTACGGAAACCTTTGCTCTCCGATGGATGGGTTAATTGTATGAAAGGAGTGGGACAAAGGTTTGCTCATGGAGTTGTTGAATTTTGAGATGCGTTGTCAAAGTATTTTATTTATTCTGGTTTTAATTTTGATTTTGTTAAGAATGATAAGGATCGTGTCACTGTTCATTGTAAGAGAAGGGCTTATTTGGGATGTTTATGGAACGTGCATGCTAGAGTGGAAAATTATAGTAAAGCTTTTGTTATTAAACAATTTGATGATGTTCATACTCGTGGATCTTCTTTTCGTACAATTAAACATGCTAAGATGACTTCAAGTATGATTGGTGGGCTAACTTCAAGTGATATTCATAATAAGGCTTTGACATCGGTTAGTGAGGTGGTTTGTGATTTCAAGGACTATTATGGAACAAAAGTTTCTTATCGGCGAGCTTGGATAGGTGTTAAAAAAGTAAGGGGTCTTGTTTTTGGTGACTATTCATCATCATTTGACGATCTTCGTTGGTATGTTGATGCCGCTAATGCTTGCAATCTGGGGAGCGTTTTTGATATGGAATTTGATATTGATAGTAAAGGAAGACATTTCAAATGCTTGTTTTTCGCTTCTGAGGCATGTATTCATGCTTTCAAGTATTGTCGGCCTATGTTGATGCTTGATGGAACTTTCTTGAAAGGAAGACACAAAGGTTGTTTATTAGCTGCTACGGCAAAAGATGGTAACCAATGTATATTCTGTGTCTATTTGTTATTATTATTAAAACAGTGATAATTCTATCATTTTTGTTACTGGAGAGTGTTGATTATTGAGTATAGTCAATCTATTAGTGATAAATTTATGCTGTATACTTTTGTTAAATTTTTATATTTATACAGTGATAAATTTATCTATGGCTGGTGCTATATGTTTTATACTTTGTGTTTTGATTTTCTTTTTGTAATTTTTTTTATTTGTTATTGATAACGTGTATATATATTTTGTTTGTAGATTTATATCCGTTATGTTTTGCTATTGTTGATAGTGAAAGTTATGACAGTTGGCATTGGTTCTTGTCAAAGTTATTTGTTATTTTGACTCTAGGGAGGGATATTGAGTTTGTTACTGATCGGCATGGAGGTTTGCTGAAAGCTTTAGCTGAGGTCTTTCTGTTTTCTTCTCATTCTTTTTGTCTAATGCATTTGAAGACAAACTTGAAGACTTATTTGTCAGTGAAGAGTCGTGAATCTAAAGAGTATTTGCTTACTCTTTTTAGTAGATGTGCATATGCTCCTACTATTGAGTTGTTTAACGAGCTATTTGAAGAATTTAAGGGTTGTTGTGGTCGTAATGTTGAGAAGTTTCTTGAGAATTTGCCTAATAAGTGTTGGTGTAATACTTATTTTCAAGGCAAGAGGTATGGTGAAATGTGCACAAATGTTGCGGAATCTTTTAATTCATGAATTAGGGATGAACGCCATTTGTTTTCAACTATTCTTGTTGATACTATACGGGTGAAACTAATGGAGCAATTTTCAAGAAAGAGAGAAGTTGGGAATAAGTGGAATCGTATTGTTTGTCCTTTTGCAGAGAAAAAGTTGGAAAAAACTTTTAATGATACAAAAGCATGGATAGTTAAGAAATGTAGCGATGACATTTATAAAATCCAATTAGATCATTCAGTTATGGTTGATATTGGGAAACGTTCTTGTTCTTGTCGATTGTGGGAAATTGATTATTTTCCTTGCGAACATGGTTTTTGTGCTATAAAGAGGAGTGAGAAGGATCTGAATTGTTTTCTTGACGATTACTATCGTATTAGTAGTTATTGTGATTCTTATTCACATTCTATCTATCCAATTCCTAGTATATGGAAGCCAAATGTAGTTGTTGATAATGACGTTGTTTTACCTCCTCTTTATAAGAGACCAGCTGGACGTCCAAAAACAGAGAGAATACCTTCTAAGGGCGAAATCAAGAGAATTAGGTGCACTAGGTGTGGAAAGATGGGAACTCATAATCGGATGACATGTAAAGAAGCTTTGCTTTAGTTGTATTGATTTTAATTGAATTACTTTGTTAAGAGTTTAGAGGTGTTACTTGCATTGAATAATTGAGTATTTTTAGAAAGATATATCATTTTGGTACTTGCATTGAATGATTGAGGAATTTGTTGAACAAAAATTATATTTTTTGCTGATATTTTACAGGATTAAGTTTCATAGATTTATATTATTTGATTTGGGTTAAATGTAGTTGTTGTTTTTGGTGTTTTATACAGTGACAAATTTATCACTGGTTGGTTTGGACAAATTGGTGGATTATTTTTTTGTAAGAATGATAAATTTACCATTAATGTGGTTCTTGAATTTTGTTATTTTCAAGAATGATAAATTTATCACTGATTGTGTGGGAAGAGTTGATGGTTTATTACATTTATGTCAGTGGTTGATAAATTTATCACTGTCATATCCAAGCAAATGTTCTTTTCTACAGTGATAAATTTATCATTGTTTGGAGTTATCTAGTTTTCCCAGGAAAAATTTTCACAATACAAAGGTGTAGATCAAATCTCTAGAATACATAATTGCATATTTGCTGTGTTAACTGCCTTAAAAAGCAAAAAAAAATTAGATCAACTACCGTGTTTATCTGGTTTAACAACAAGTTCTCAGTTTGCATACTGTTTTATGGTCACTCAGAAGCAAGCTTTGGATGTTTAAGTTGTTTAACTGAAGTATCAAATGGTTTTGATTATTCAGAAATCACCAAGGATGGCATGTTTCATTCTCAAACTTGGAAATATCTACAAATTGTAACAGTATTTTAATTTTCAATTTGGACAATGTAATAGTGCTTGTGTTTTAATTTTCAATTAGGTAAATTTTTTATTATTTTTTATAGTGTTTTGTTTACTTGAATTGAGGAAAAAGAATGTGTGTGTGTGTGTGTGTGAGAGAGAGAGAGAGAGAGAGAGAGAGAGAGAGAGAGAGTTGCTAGTTTTTTTGTTTGAACAGTGGTAAATTTATCAATGTTCACAGTGATAAATTTGTTGAAACAGTGGTAAATTTATCAGTGTTCACAGTGATAAATTTGTTGAAACAGTGATAAATTTATCAGTGTAAACAAAATACTATAAAAAATAAATTTATCAGTATAGTGACTCCAAACCTGTTATTAACCTTTAAATTCAACACAAATACTCAGATTAGAATCAATATTTTGAATGAAATTTGGATAACAAAACTAATATCAAAAGCCAGATCTGGTAACGATATGGCTAAAAAAGACTGAATGTTTCATTGAAGCAAATTTGGCATTGTAACAACCAAGCATTGTCCATAACTTTGACATTGTAACAACCAAGCACTGTCCGTAACTTTGACATTGTAACAACCAAACATTGTAATATTCATTGGAGGAAAGTAAGAATCAAAATCATCAAAATACTGGTAACACTGTAACAAGCAAACAAGCAAAATGTATAAAGTATTGACATTCTAACAACCAAATGAATCAGTGTTTCCTTTTGTTTTCTTCTTTTCCAAATCTGTTAGAGGCAAGTCATCAATATTTTCATCAGGTATTTGTTGTTGAGCAACTTGCTGGTCAGTCAAGAAGATAGTTAACATATCGGCTCTCAATTGATTGCATTCTTCCTTGGAAAAAGTAGGCATTATGTTGTTTTTGAAAACATATTGCCTCATGATATAGCAAACAATGATTCTACAATCAAGCCTGCAAAAACATTTTGAAAACAAAATATTATAATTTGGTTTCGTTGCTTTTTTTTTTAATAACAGTGTTTTGTTATTGATAAACTTACGACGTGTCTTCTTGTTGTGGGCTGTTGATGACGCTTTATGTCTCCTGTTGAAATTTATCAGGGTGAATGAGAGTTGGCTTCTCATCCTTTATGTACTTGTCAATAATCTCTCTATGCAACATATACATTTGTATAATTGTTCTATTAGAAAGTCAGTTGAAACAATTAATTAGAAACCATGGATTTAAAGAATGATAAATATGTTACTGTATAAATTTGTGATGTATAATTGAGCATGGATCAGGATTGATGTATTGGATTAATGTTAAGTTTGATAGTGAAAACATTTTTACCACTTCATTTGCGGCATTGAAGTGTGTATCTTTAGCCGTTGCTCCCCTTGGTCTCATGGAATTGTAGAATTTCCATGAACCTTCTTCGATGTCAAGGACAAGTATTGTCCAGTGAAAATTTTGGTGGATTGGGAAGATAAGGTATCTTGCTTTCATGGTTTCAGGCATCATTTTGTTCAGCATTCTCTTTTTTGCTTCTTCATCTTTTGTTGTCAACAAGTGCTAACAAATATAAATAAAAAAATAATGTTAATTTAACTTTAAACTTTTTCAAATTAAATAAGTGGTGAGTATGAAACTTTTTTTCACTGTGATCAAAATTTTATCAATCCATATCAAAATTTATTACTGCATTGCAAAATTTATCTATACTACATATAAAGGGAACACATCTATTGGTGTCTTGAGGCTTTTTTTCCTCCTCCATGTGAAATGGATCTTTATATCCCCTAATATATCTATACTATTCTTTTCTTTCATTCTGTAAATATTCATAGATGATCTGTAACAGGCTATATATCCATACTGCTTATTTCAAGTACACTCATGTGAGTGTGCACATCTACTAATATATATATATATATGTGTGTGTGTGTGTGTGTGTATCATGATTCTCTCCATTCTATAGTTGTAATGAAAGATGTCCATTACTTAATAAATTACATCAAACAAGAGCTCTATGAGGCTTCACCACTAACAAAATGAAAGTGAACTATGTCCTGTAACATCATAGCATATAATCCAGGGCCAATTGAAGAGGGAAGGTAGTGTCATAAGTTTGAAACTAGTTACTCAATTAAGCAAACAGAGGTTATACACTAATAAAAAATAAAACAAGTGTTGTTCCTCAGTTAAGCAAACTAGTTACTTACATGGCAACTTGAAATGAATATGAATGATGTTCCTTGTTTTTGTGCATGCAAGTGTTCTGTATATGCATCTATTACCTGTGTTGAAAACAAAAAAACAAAACAAGGAATTAATATAAATCAAACACTATAATGTTATTTTAATGAGTTACAAATTCAACTTACAATGCTTGCTAAATCTTGACCCTTCAATATTTTGTCAATGTCATTTAAGTAGACATAGGTTGCATGGCCAGATCCTTGCCACACTGGTTCATCCCTGAAAAAAAGGTTATTAGTGTTGTAATAATAAATTTATTAATATTTTTAGAATATTTGTTACTTATAAATTGAATATGAGTTAATGATAAACAGTTGGCAAAAGTGAACTACAGGAGTCAAGAGAGAAGATTGTTGCTTTTTCTTTGTATTCATCCAATGAGCAATGAGATTTTGCCTTGATTTTTCTGGTAGGATGTTGAAAATTTCGTTTGAAATTTTTAATTTCTTCATTGCAGGCTACTCTTGTGTGTGTTTTTCTTCCGAGTACTTGTTTACCTCAGCCAATGTTGCAATTCCCTCATGGAGTATTTTGATTTCTTCATCTTTCCTTTACATTTGATTTTTTGTAGTTTTGTGCTGATCTTGCATTTCTTTTTTTAGCTTCTTGAGTTGTTGCTGCAGGTTATCATTTGCAGTTTGAAGGATGTCCCTTTCGATTTGTAACCTTTCCATTTTGAGCATGTCGTCTTCTATCTTCTCAAAAACAAGTACTTCTACCATATTTGGATCCACTTCAGCCTCTTTGTCAACTTCGTTTCCTTCACTCTTTTGTGATTCAAGCGGTACTGTTTTCTTTTTTTTTTTCAGGGCATATTTTGTGTGGAATTGGTTCCCATGTTTCATGTTTGGATTTGTCTTCAATGAATGTTTGTTCTTTTTTTTTCAGAATTTTCAGTCTGATTTTGTTGCTGAAGATCAGCATCTTCATCGTTATCCTCAATTTCTCCTAGCAGCATTCGGTATATTTTTTTCTCTTTATTTGTGTGCTTCAAATTATTCTCCTACATAGATAAAAATTAAAAAAATGAATGATATGATACAAATTTCAGAGATAAATTTCTCATAGCAAGTTTTATCGCTCAATTAGAAAAATTAAACAAATCTATGATTGCTATAGCAAATTTTATCACTGAACTAGGCATAGTAAGCAAATCTGTCATTATATAGCAAATTTTATTGCTGAATTAGGAAAAGTAAGCAAATAAATTAAATATAAGACAAAATGTCTAATTCAATTCATTTTTACAGATACGTTTATCAATACTGAAACCTAATCAATTCTAGTCGAATATAAAGTGACACAAATAAAGTAAATATGAAACAAAACTCATGCACAATAGACAAATAGAAAAACATTCACTGCGTAAAAGAATTTATCACTCAATTAGGTATACTAAGGGAAATTTGTCACTCAATTAGGCAAATTAAATAAATTTATCAGTGTGAACAAAAATTTGTCATTACATACGAAAATCTATCATTTGTTTAAACAAAACAAAGGTTAGCATTGCATACCACAATATCTTTTAAATCTTGCAAAGATGAACTTGCCAATTGCTGTCCCAAACGTGTGATGTTCCATTTAGTAAATCTTGGGATTGGATTTTTGGCATTGGGTTTGATGGTGCTTATGTGTTTGCATATCCAATACTGTTGAAGACAAAAAAATTGTTATATACAAGTATTTAATAAATGTAAATATTATAGTTCATAAGTTATCAGTGAAGTATTTACTTACCAATACGACCATCACACATTCGTACACGTTATCAATTTGATTGATGTTTCTTTCTATTGATTTTGTGAGTTGTTGTTTTGCTGCGTCGCACCAATCATAAGACTTCATTTTGTCAATATCCTCAAGATATTTCATGAACCCCTAACCAATTGTCGTGCCAGTACCAGGATATAACAGCAGCAAGCAAATCAAGAGGCACACAAGCCTCACAACATCTTCTATGTCTTCCTTCTTCTTGTTTCTCAAAAGTTCGGTTATCAACTTTTGGATTGAAGCACTTGTC